ATCTGTGACGGGAGGGGCAGAGGCAATGAGCAGGGCAAGAATGACAGGAGCAGGAAATGAACATGACAAGGCAGACAGAAGCAGGATCATAACAGAGACACCTTACTGTTAGCAAGGTATCTCATGAACTAATGACAGGATCATAATGAAACTTTCAGAAATTATAAGTGGACTAATATCTTGAACTGATTAACTTTTGGATTCAATCCTGCTTAAGATAACCATAAAATGAGGGACTACAAATAAAAAACTACAAAGATGGCCACCAGGAAAATACCCAGAACAATACTTATTAGGTTGGTATATGAACACCTAAGAATCATGACTGAAATCACATCAAATTTTTATYCTCTCATTAGTATTTTTAGGTCCAATTAATAGAAGTCATCAAATAATTATGTGACAAATTAACTTCTTCACAACTCATACCTCAGGCAGCTTGGGGAGTTAAACACATTTACGATAAATATTAATATACTGTATTTCAAACGAATATGTCTCTATTGAGTAGGAAACATTGAACAATCTTAATATRTCAATTACATTTTGATTTATGTACATATACATATAAACATAAACAGACACTTACWGTCAGGGTGAAGGAAGACAATGAAAAATGTCAGAATGAAAGTTGAAGCAGCTGAGCCCCCAGAGGCTTGCATCTGCTCCAATCTGGCAACCATGCTTCTCACACACACTCGTGTACATGCTGTAATGCAAACACGCACCTGCCAACCATGTCTACATAGGGCGAACACCAAACTGCTGGAAAAGATTAAGTTGGCAAAGGGTTTCATGAATTGGGTACACAATTCTTGGAACATGAGCTGAAGTATTCACTTTATGACACTTGCCTTTACTCTGACTGCAGATCCTTGGCACAATTATCTAATATTTAGATTAATATTCTTTTAAGAAATCCTTCCGAACCGCTGATGAATTTATTTGATCTAATAAAATAAAGAAATAAAATAAATGTAAACAAATGAGGAACAGAACAAAAGTGAACATGCCATGAACTTCTATCTCTTTTAGAAGACTTTCTCTAAAAAAAAAAAAAGAACGATGATATGAACTTGACAGTATTATCTTTATTTTGTTTATTTTTTTAAGGATGTGCTGGCCTCAATCAGATTGTGACTATGTGAATAATGAGTGACAGTAGCTATCTGCTTCTATACTGTAGGTTCGAATATTCCCTTACCTGATTGGTCGGGAGTCAGCCTTTGCAGATAACTTGAAATGGATGGCATGTGCTAACAAAGGTAAGATCTTATAGATTTCCTTCTCCTTATAAGTATTGCAGTGGAAAGTTGGAGACTGTTACTTTAAGTCAAGTAAAAATATTAAAACATTGTGGAACTTTGAATTTGTTTGACACGTGTTTGCATGTTTGCATTTAGTACCGTTAATGAGTTTGTCAGTGCTCATCAGTATAGCCACTTCTACACGACATCAGGCAGCTGGTTCCATTCGCCCAAATGGGATATGTCACAGTTCTTTAAATTCCTCTGTGCCTAAAGTCCACTCATGCGAATACACTACTTAATATCTGCTTTGTAAACAGTCATGGTTGTCTCGGTGCATAGATCACTTTCTCCCAGGTTCTATATTTAGCTAGGAGATGGGTGACAGAGACAGTCTGGTTTCATTTCCTCAGGCTGCAGGAGATAAGCCACAGGTCACACAAAGGATGTGTATGTGTTTTTGTTCAGTGTCTCTAATATGTCTCCGCACAGAAGAACGTGGGCCTCATCATGCATGAAAAAGTTTGCAGTTTTCACATTGAAATTTGGTGGACAGACCAAGTTCTAAAAGTGGGTACACACAAAAATATTCAGATTTATGCCTGTTTTTGTGCACATTTCTTCTATGCATCCCAATTCATCCATTTGGATCGTTCATGAACAAATATGCAAATAGTATACATGGCAAGCTACAACCATGTGCCCAAATAACCATGGCAAAGGTTTCACAAAGGGCAAATTAATAAGAATAACGATTTTACTGAATGCAACATATGTAGATGTACTAGTATCAGAAGTTGAGGCAAGTGGTAAAATATGTTTTGATAGTCATTCCTCCGCAGTTAGTAATAAAATAAAATTTAAAAAAATAGATTGGTGGATGGTGGCAGCAGCTGGTATTGCAGCAGGATCTCAATTCCAGTCTCTGCTCAAAGATTTTAAAAGTAGTTTGCTCTAAATTTCAATGTCTAAAAGCTGGCTGCTGCTCACTGATATAGTGTTGCAGTCACATTGAAGGGGGATTTGATATACCTGGGCATCATAGAGATGAAGCCGTCCCATACGGCTAACATGGTACGGCTCAGGAACGATTGTGAAATACTCAACCATTCAGCCATCTTCCCTGTGAAAGAACCTCAGCAGACTGAAGACTTGAACTGGAACCAGCATTGCACATCTTTTCCTAGATTTCCTCCATAATACCCGGGCCAGTTTAGCACAGAGTTCCAATTGGATGGCCCTGTGCTCTTTAAATCATATAGTAAGATTGGCATCATTGTGTTCCAGCAGGTTGATGTCAACCCTGAAAACACGGATCTGTTGTTGATGTCCTCCAGCAGCACCAAAGCTGCCATTGTTCCACTATTACATTCAACTCTACGCAGCTGTTACACACTAAGGATCTTCCATTCATTAATATGTTTTAATACATTTTTCTCTTTACAGATGATTACCAGTTAACAGTTTGTATGCATATACAGAAAATGTCACAATATTTTAGCAACTTGTAGTTTAATTTAATTTGGTTAAATGGCACCATGCGTAGGTACTTTGGCTGCCATGGACTGTTTGTGTAAAACCTGATGTAATTTTATTGGAAATTTCCTCTCAGCAGACTCATATGTCACCATGAGCGCTGCTGGATTTTCGCAGCAGGGCCATTCTGTTTTTACCCACAAACAACCAAATCAATCTACATGAGCACAGTCAAAATTTCCCAAGAAAGAAATAATAAAGCACAGAAAATTCCTCCCACTTTGTTCCAGTAGTTGTGTTTTACTTCACATTTTTTCCACACTATTTCCTTCCACTCCATCAGTTATGTCCCTGTTTCGGGATATTTGTTATTTGTATTTTGCTTACATATGACCCAGACCCAGGTTTTAAAAAAAAGATGTTTCTGCCCCCGTTCTTACCAGACCACGTGCAGCATGAGCATCTTGTACATGCAACAGGTGTGTGTCGCGTCACTGACAGCAGGGCACATTCATTTTTCTTTAGCCGACTCATCTCACTGGCCCCAGTGGCTCAGCCTGAAGGACGCCCTCAGCCTTCCAGAGGGAGCAATCATTCCCAGCTCACTGCTGTGATAAACGATGCAGTCAGACTGCTGCTTTTTTTGCCATGTAAGTGTGTGTCGGTGTTACATTGTCTGCTGGGAGAACAACAAGATTCAAATGTTTTTTGAGATTGGAAAAACAAAAAACAAAAAAAAAGTCCTCTCCCAGGTTACAATTTGAGCCAAGTGATTTTGTGCTGCTGCAGTGATTATAGTTATCAGTGTTCCAGGGTTTGAAAATAAGGAGTCACCCTTTTATAAATGTTTTTTCTCAGTTTTTCTTTTTTTTTTCTTACGTGACCATAGATATGACATTAGGTGATCATTGTTGATGTTGCAGCAGGTTATTTGGGCTGAGAGGAGGCATCTCTCATAAATCCTCACATTGTGTCTCGACTTTAGATCGTCTCTCTGTAAAGGTTTTGCTGGAAGCAATGACCCCAAAATCTATTTCCTCAAGCTATGATTTTCTACTTGACTGCCTCACAGTGATGGAGGCCGTTTGCTGTTTTTATGGTTGGGTGGAAATTTGTTGGTCTCTTACTTTTCTCTTTTCTCACTGTGTCACTTCTTGTCCTCTATCTCTGTCAGACTGTGGCCCTCATTCCCTTTTAGTCCCCCACTTTCTTTCCCCCTGCTGAGATAACAGTATCCCCTCCTCCACAAATACATTAGCGGCATAATGATGGCATTACCATTGTGGAAAATGGCATTGCATTTGGTTTAACTGAGGCAGCTTCCACATTACATTTACATATCACTTAACCGTTCACAATGCTGGTATGCCCTGACTTTAGCATTATTTTATGTAATCCTTGGAGTCTAAAGTTTTTATTTTCTTTCTTTTATCAAGTAAGTCTCTACTGCCCTCTGTGTTGTTTCTCAGCTTTAGAAAATTTGACTTTTTCAGTCTTCTGATTTCAACCGACTCAAAGGTATTGTGTACTTATGTTGATCACAACCAGACTTACCAGCACAGGTGATTTTTGCCAGGCTCACTGTTACTACCTGCCAGTTGAGGCTTTTTGAGCTTCTCTGCTAAAATTATGTGGCTTGTCTGTTTCTGATGGGAGCCAGTTCATGCAACAGTGAGCAGAGATGCTGGGCAGCAAGTCAAACACTGAAACAGAACAAAGCAGCAAAACATCATGTCAGGAAATGGCACTCAGTCAAAAAATAAAATAAAATAAAATAAAATAAAATAAAAAAGAGAACTTTGTTTATTATAAACAATAGCTTCATCAACTAAAAATACATGTTGTAATAAAAGCATCATTATAAGCTTGTTAAACTTTCAAACATTAAACTAATAAAACAGCTACTGAGTTTCAAACATGACCACATGCAAACCAAAAGTGTAAGTTGTACTTTCATTCATTTATTTAATTAAACCTTATTTGACTATGCATTCTGTGTTTATCAGTTTATCAATATTTCGGTCAATTAATAAAAAAACTGTGTTTTCACTGAAAAATTAAATAYCATAGAACATGTCCATGAACCATAAGACACACACATAGTTTTGAAACAGAGGCCTCACATGTGATTTTGACCCTCAGGTAAAAAGAGGATTATTAAGAAAAGCTTGAAATTCCAAGAACATGAAAGAATACATGGAAATGAGAACTTATAAATTGATTGATTTAGCTCTTTTAAAGAATTATTATTTCATGCTTTATCCCTTCCCTGCTTTGAACTTTTAATACGATTTCTGTTGATCTTTAGTAAAATCAGTATTTTGTTCTCATGACTGTGTTTTTTTGGTAAGGAAAAGAGGTGTTTTATTTCCAGCAAAAATTACATTTATTGGTSATTTTGGTTTAACCCTTCTAGCTAATGGTGCTACAATAGACCTTGGAGCCAGTTATATCAACTTTTCTTTGATTGTCTTAACCTGGCCCTAAGAACTAAAGATGTTGATGATTAAAAAGAGCAAGATTTTTCTGTTCACAYTATCATTTAAATAGTAAGTAAACCTTTTTGCTCTCTTTGTCCCACAGGCTACTTCACTCAAATTTCCACACTGGCAGACGTACAAGAGAATGTGATGGAGTATCTCCACGTGCTGAGTCGTCCCAAAGTCATTGACCGGGAGCATGACACAGTGTGGACTGAGGCATACATTGACAGCACCGTGAGTTGACCAGACTGTCACAGGACAAATGCTGGACTAGAATTAAATTAAGTAACCCACAAAACCTCCTGTTTAAATTGTATTTTTTTAAAAAATCACATTTTTAGATTGATGTAAACACTCAAGATAAAAAGGAACATGAATAAAATACAAGCAGAGGGTTTACCACTTTGCATCTCTGAGTGCTAAGTGTATTCTTGCATGTGCAGCAGATGGAATCATTAAGAAAATGTGCCTCCTGTGTGTGTTTGGGACTCTTGTTGCGTGAACAGAACATTGACCCAATCCCAGGATGCAGATGGCAGACAATTACTTCTCACTACGATATAACTTTAAAAAGCAGAAGCCCTTAAAACATCTTTTTTTAATCTTTTTGTAGTTTGTGACACAATGAGATTTCCTTACAAGAAAATAAATGATAATTGCCCATTCACTGCAAATGAAAATTTACACACTCAGTACAACATGTTGTTATACTGATACATGCTCGACTGTACATTTTGCTCGAGTAATTATACAGAGCGAAGAAAGCAGCTGCTTTCATTGACTTCTGTATAAATTTAAAAAATGAGAGATGTAAAATATCAAATGGAACTGCCATACTGCCAGAAAGAATTTCAAAAACATCCCAATTCATGAAAATGTAGTTTTTCCTCTGTGTGCCTAAGTTTTTGAACAATTTTCTTTCTTTCTTCACTTTTCTTTGTCCTCTAATCCACCTTCATTTATGAAAAAAGAATGCATTCACTTAGGAAGCCCAGACAGTGGATTTATTTCCTGCACCTCAGCCCTACTGACTCAAAAACATCTTTCTTCACCAAATGCAGTTTTTGTTAAAGCCAATAGATGTTTGCAGACTTTGCCATTCTAGCAGTGGAGAGCTTTCTGACCGTCTCTCTGCACTCCTCCTCTTTCCCCCCCTTTAAACTGCCCTCCTTAGCTCCCCCAAGCACAACAGGTAAAAAAAAAATTWAAAAAATCTTATTTGRGGCCATCATATTATCAAGGCTGCTGTACATCGATGTGCATTTCATGTGCATGTGTGTTTTGATTTGTGATACCTGTAAGAAGAAGCTGATCTTTGAGGTAACTATCTTGTTTGACATTTGTATGCTGTTTGTCAACTTCCAGACTCTGTTCACGCCTCATTGTTTCTTCGGTGTATCGCTCCGCTCTGCATGTCTGGTTAAAGAAAGTCGCACATCTGTGCAACACGCTCATTCATCAGTCGTGGTGTGATGTTAGCTGTGCTTTGCTAGTGTATCTGCAGGCTGGTGGTGTGATCTTGTGTGTCAAGTGTGAGGTTACGTTTTGCTCTTTGGCCTGCGTAATTTCAGTGTGGAAACACGATTGTCTCTGTGTTATTTGTTTTGGTGGAATTTTCCAAAATAAGCTGTTTTGTCATCTTCTTGGGTGAAAATCCAATAGTCCTTAATGACTCTGTCGGGATGATCTGTTCTGATGCTTTTTCATCGTTTTCACTGGATTTCAGTGATTTATGAATCCTATGTGGCTCGAGATAAGCAGCTCTATAATCATAACAATGATGATGATGAACAAAAAGAGTGCTCTGCTTCTCTGCCAGCAGGAGCTCAGCACAGAACTGTCTCATTAGAAAGCTGGGAGGCGTTTGTCTGACAAAGCACTGTTAACGGGATAGAAYGGTGCTGATTGACATCAAAATGGCTCAGCAGAAAACAAAAATGGATATCACATTTTCAGATATGACAATTAGGATTAACAACGATTCAACGCTGCTTCTTTGTATTTAAAAGGAAATGCGGAGATCTTTTGAAAGGAGGTTCAGTGAAAATGTTATGAGCAGGCAACATCTTACCTGTTGTAGATAGTTTTTTGAATGACTTCTGTGTTGTTAGTCTTGCAAGAATTCAACCTTTTCTCCAAATTTAGGCCAATGAATGAGTTATCTACAAGATATCAATTGTTCATAACTTTTCCACAGAACTGCACTTAGAACAACCTGAATTGTCACTAACAAATCTTCCTTCTCTGACTTGAATACTATGACACACGGACAAAAGAACCCCTCAGCGGAAAAAAAAAATAGCAAAACAAAAATGTGCAGCAGCTTGGTCATAGAGTCAGATAAGATGTTAGCAACTCTCGGGTTTGCTCTATCTGTGTTAGCAAAGTGATGGACRTTTGGGATTTGTGTTCTGGGACTCATGTGTATCATCTTTCCAGATGTAGAGTCATACTRTCTGTTCTCGGCTCTGCATCCTTTTCGATGCAACCCAATAATTTCTCTTTACTTGACAATATGTCCCTTTCATGTTTCGCTTTGCTTCTCCTTCCCCACACYTTGCCTTTTTATCAAAGTTCTCCTCTCCTGTCCTGTCCCATGCCTGCCCCCTCCTACCCTTTGTCTCTCCAGCTTCATTCATCATTCTGTGGCTCATTTGGCTTTGTTTCCTATTCTCTATGAAATCATTTGATGGTGGAGATCAGGGACACTGRGCAAGGTTTAGATGAGGAGAATGTGTCTGAGGGGTTATTTTAGGAGAAGCATTGGACAGGTTATACATAGATATGATGTGAGGAATCTTATGAGTAAAGGTATTAGAGAACATTGGGAAATACAGCGTGTGGGCACGAGTTGAAAGTTTTCAAACAGAGACATAACTTAAATGATACTTAAACAAACATAAAAACTGACAAATGGCAAATCTCAAGACACTTGGAAACATCTGCATGATGAAATGAAGTTGTCATCAATCTGAAATATCACAACGGATATTTGAACACGCTTCTGTTTCACAGCGTTTTTTTTTTCTTCTAATGTTCCCAAACACCTGTACAGTTAAAAAATGTTTTTTATTGGATTCATGCAAGCTTTGTTTCCCATGGAGTTTGTTTTTAGCCTCTCCCATGAGACCACATGGGAGGGGTTTTGGCTCCAGTGATTACACAGACCATCATCATTAAACCTTATCTCCAAGGCAACATGGGTCACCTCATTTCCCGGCACATATTTTGTCACAGCGTAGTAGATCATGAGGTTTTCTATGAGATGCCAAACACAAACCACGGGTGTGTTATTGAGCCCTCAGAGGGCTGTTAGTGTCTTGGCGTTTATGTCAGGAGGGTGTTAAGTGCATAATRGTCTATACTGGCATTCATTTTCCTTTTCTGATCCACTGTGGGAGAAATGGCRTACAACTCATTTACCTTGTCTGGTCTGACTGACCAAAGATAAATCCACAAAAGTAAAGAATGTAAAGGCTACTCAAAATATGTGCTGAGCTCWCATTTTGCATTAGAAGTCCATGAGTTCAACAAACTATGAGGTGCCTTTCAGGGACAAAAGCACATGGCTGTTTTTTCTAATACAGCTGAATAAAATTATTTTGTTCCTATGTTTAAATGAAACTGCACAATTACAGGAGTTTATTTTAAATAATCGGTTTGATTCACACTTTATTTCGCAAGTGCAAACAATGCAAACTGCATATATTGTCATGTTGCGAATACATACACAAAACTGTCCAATTAGAGTTTAGATTTATACCCCAAGCAGAACCCGAGCCAAAATCTGAGCTGGGTCAGGCCGAAATTATACGCTTGATGGTCGGGTCTGGCTCAGACTCCTGTGGCATGTTTTTTTATAAGCCTGCAATACAAACAGCACAGCCTCTGCAGCTACAAACACACTCAGAGGTGTCTGTCCCTGCAAGAGCTGAAAAAAAGGCTGACATTTGTGTGATAATAGGGACAAAATTATACTAAATGAGGATTCAATTATTTTATTTTTATTTATTTATTTATTTATTTATTTATTTATTTTTTGCAGGGGCTCAAAATTTGTTTCCAATTCAAGTGACAGGACAGCCACTGAACTCATGTGGGGAAACTGAAAACCATGCAAAAGTTTCAAGACAGTCACAGTTTGTTGCCAGCATTTGAAATCCGTAGATACTGGATGGTAGTGAGAAACATTTGTTTACATGTGGTCTTTTTATAGTAAGCATATCCTGTTACTTACTTTACATACCTATTTATTTTTCCTGAAGCAAGAAGCCCCAATTTTCCCCAAATGTGACTTTACTGAAACATACTCCTTCTCAGATTAATGTCCATGTGCAGAGAGCATACAGTGAAGGGATTGCTTGCCAGTCYGGTGATATATGATCTAATAGACCCRGCTTGGAAATATATGATTATTTTTAGAAGATGCTTTGCTCATGTCTCCTGCCCTTTGATCGATGACGTTCTGCAGCAGCAAGGCTATCCATTGTTACAACAGCTGTACTTAGGTGTGCTTTGTTCTCTCTTTGATGTTCAATACTTCTCTCTGGATTTCTATTACCAGCTGTCTGAGCACAGGTCACCCATCCCCTTTTCTTCAATAGATTAGGAAGRCAGAATGGATACTAACAATGTCCTGTCACTGCTTGTTATTGCTGTTGCAAAGAAGTGCAAGGGCTGTGCAATGAAGAAGGTAGGCTGTAGTGGAAACACGGTTAAAGGGGGGTAGAGTTCCCAAACCAAAATGCCAAATTGGGAACCAATTGAGGTAGGTTCAGCAAAATCCTATGAAYCAATATTAACTTTGTTCTAGGCTATATTTTGCACTTAATAAATATGTTTGCTTGAACAAAAACTAAATAAGCACCTGACATATTGACAGTTTAAACATTTCTGACTGGACAAGGTCAGCCCATTGTTTGTCGAGCACAAAGTCTTCTTCAGACTTTTCATTGCCGTGTCAAGTTCTTATCTCCAACGGGTGCTGTCATCAGATACAGACAGCTGCTGGAAAGATAAATATCATAATTATTCCAGCAGTCTTTGGAGAGCGAAGATACTCGGATCCTAACTGGAAGCACTGCCTTTGGATAAGCTTATTCTGCAAGAGATCAAAGGCGGACTCTGATTGAACACATTTTAAGGCAAATAAAATGCATGAATAAAACATGTCATGGAAGTTTTGAAGGTCCCTGAAGAAGATAACATGACTAGAGCGGCTGGAGGAACCCCATCCACTTCAATTTAGGGGGGAAATTTTATGTAGGTTGAAAAAATAAGGCGCTCCATATGTGACAATAACTGGTAAATGGACTATAAGTTCAGTCCATTTACCAGAGCGCGTTATCAAGCCCCTCCAGACCCCAAAGCGCTTTACACTTACAGACATTCACACATTCACAGTCACATTCTCACACTGATGATGGTAAGCTACTTTGTAGCCACAGCTGCCCTGGGGCACACAGAGAGGTGGAGCTGCCATGCACCTGCGYCACCGGACCCTCTGACCACCATCAGTAGGCAAGGTTGGCGAAGTGTCTTACCCAAGGACACGACTGAGACTTGGGATCAAACTGGCGACCTTCCAGGACGACTCCCCTAACCACTCCACCACAGCCACCCCATAAATAAATAAATGACATTTCATATAATATTCATGTAATCCCTGATCGGATGAGGTATATTTTGTGTGTTGTTATAACAATTATTTTTCAATATTAACTTTTCTTTTTCTATGTTTCCCTATTGTCTTTTCTTTTCACTTGCAACCCGTCACTGATATTTTTCTCATGGCACACTCAGATGGACGACGGTCAAGGTCCAGTTCTGATGACCACAGTGGCGATGCCGGTGTTCAGTACAAAGAATGAGACAGTGAGTTCATAATGACTGCTGTAGATTGTGTAGTCAATCCCTCTATTTTTTTTTCTTTCTAGCAAACTTTTAGTTTTTCTTCCTGACAAAACAACAAAAAAAAAATCTTAAAGGGGATATATCATGCAAACTCGACTTTTTTAGCCATTAAATGCATATTGTTGTGTACTTGGAGTCTCTAAGAGTGCAGAAAAGTTGAATTTAGTCTCTCCTGGTGCTGCAAATTACTATTAAAGGGATCCCCGATTAGTTGTAACATTAGACGTTATTTGAAAAACATATACTTTGACTGTAAAATAAAGACTGTAAAAATACTGTAGGATGTTCAGTTTTTATCATTTTTAAACTAAAAGTTAAAAATATATTACACGGACGGGGCCATTTTATTTATACGCAAAGCATTCTGGGTAAATGATGACATCAACTAGGTCATCGGCACAAGGCTGCTAGCGAGTTATATCCACCCTGAAGGGTAATCTTGGACAATATCTGATGATTGGCTCTTTTAAATGAAACCAGAGAGCGTTGACAGAGAGGAGAAGGTAGAAATGACTCAGCCTGTAACTGAAAATATGGATGGAGGACAACAGAGCTGCTTCATGGAAGAAGAACCCCAGCTTAGCCTGTTAACATTAGCATTAGCGCTATCACCATATATATGTATTAGCTCAGCACTACACATTCTCCTCTCGTCACTGAGGTCCTCCATCCACATGACAGAGAGGGGAAGGCAAAAATGACTCAGGATGGAGGACCTCAGTTTAGTTTGTTTGTCACGCTAGTGCCAAGCTAATACATATAAGGCAATATAGTGTCGGCGCTAGCGCAAAGGCTAACCGGCTACGCTGAGGTTCTTCTTCCATGAAGCAGCTCTGTTGTCCTCCATCCATATTTTCAGTTACAGGCTGAGTCATTTCTACCTTCTCCTCTCTGTCAACGCTCTCTGGTTTCATTRAAAAAAGAGTCAATTGTCAGATATTGTCCAAGATTAACCTTCAGGGTAGATATAGCTCCCCAGCAGCCTCACACCGATGACCTAGCTGATGTCATCAGTTACCCAGAATGCTTTGCGTGTAAATAAAATGGCTCTGTCTGTGTTAAAATATATTAAAAAAATTACAAAACTAAACAGCCTACAGTATTTTTACAGTCTTTATTTTACAGTTAAAATAAATGTTTATCAAATAAAGTTTAATGTTACAACTAACCGTGGATCCCTTTAAAAAATACTATTTATATTCTGTTTGGATTATATTTTCCAACCCAGAAAGAGACAACATCAAAATGAGTTGAACCCAGACACACGTCTGAAAAGGGATGATAGAGGGGCTTGTGGAGTTAAAATAATGAGAAGTTCATACAAAAACATTGTCCCTACAGAATGATTTAAATGTAAAAAAAAAATCTCCTTTCAAGCACATCAAATTAGACTTTTTGTTTGCATTCAAAAATTGAGAACTATCATTTAAACTTATTTGCTTTTATATAACACTAATTTCTGATTAATTGCAAATTAGTGCTTTGTGGAGCATCTGCCATTTAAATTAGTGTGATGTTGTGTAACTTTTCAAGCAAAACTATTGTAAATGTTTYAAAAATGTGTGTTTATAGAGAAACCATGGAATACTTCTTGGTGTGGTTGGGACAGATGTGCCCGTCTCTGAGCTGCTTAAAACTATCCCCAAATATAAGGTAAGCATTGCAAAATCACTTCCAATAATATCTATAATGGAGCATGTGCGTTTCTACACATTAGACCTTATGTTTTGTGTCCTCTTCTTCAGAAAGCCATTCACATCTTATTATATCTGGACTCTAAAATAATTTCAATGTTTCCTCTTTAAGATGCCATCAGTTTAGTTCTGAACTGAACTGTTAAACCCATAAATCACGATGCTGTAGACATTCTCAAATTCACATGCTTTTCAGATACTTTCTTCTGATTTATTTATTTATTTATTTTTTGTAAATCTGAAACTTGTTTGGATTTCAGGTTTTGCCATCTGAGTGTCTTGTTTGTCCGGACATGAATAATGAATTGTTCTTGTTCCGTGCTTCATCATGAAAACAATTATTCCAAATGTGAAAAATGACAAAGGGCTTGATTAGCCCAGATTTACAATTAGGGACAGATTTGCAATGWATCACTTTGGTGTGCCTGTGTTTCTGCTTATCATACCAGCTTGGCATTCATGGCTACGCCTTTGCAATCACCAACAATGGCTACATCCTCACCCATCCAGATCTACGGCCACTTGTGAGTACGTCCAACACCAGCCAGACGCTSAACTAAAAGTTAGCCTTATTATCCTAACAATCCTATTTAGAATGTAGAGATTAAAATTCAAATGCATTAAGTTTTTTTCCCCTCTTCTACTCCTACCAAGTAAATTACTGATTTGGCTTTCACAATAAGAAAGGCTGAAGACAAGTTTGACACAGAAATCTGGTGTGTAATTGTGTGAGAGTTCTGTGCTGTGTCATGTGAGTGTTCCAGTTGTGTGGCTATATGTAGATGAGGAGTGTTTTTCAGCCCTTTGCTGCTCCCTGAATAGAGAGAGATACAGCTACTTGAATGGCTGTGATTAACTCCATTGTACTCTCCCACTCCCCTGACAAGAGAGTGGGGGGAGTTGGTGTACAGACAGCGGGTGGCAGGGGAGGGCTGGGAATCGACAAAATATGAGAGAAAGTGACAGGTAAAATAAAAAATAAAAAAAGTTAAAAACAGCATTCTGGATACAAAACTGAAAAATTGAGGGATGTGAAATGAACAGATGAGGAGAGGAGAAAACAGACAGTGAAGCAGACAGACAGATGGTTTAATAGCAGCCTAATTAAAGATGTTAATGAACARTGTTTAACAGCTAATGAAGGGTGGGAGTATGTCCTTACTGACAGATAAATGGAAAAGAAGACTTAAAGGTACACACATAAGACACACAACAACTCAATGCCAATAATAACAACACATTACCAGAATTCACCTTAATGTCAGACTGACTGGGTCATTCAGCTAAAGCTGAAGTGTTGCGTTGTTTCTCATAAAAGATCAATGGATTCAACTTAATGTTTATTATTATTTTTTTTTAATGGACAATCCAATTTAAAATCATAGACATAGAGGCTAAAGTGAAGATTTTCTTTCTGAAATTTAAAAATAAACATCATCCACACTCAGTGACTCCATTGGTGACCACCAGTCCCAGCCGTACTTACGTTTCTTGTAGCAGATGGCAAGTATGTGATCTTGATAAATTACAAAACATTTTTTTATGAATGACAATAAAAATATACACAAAGAAATAAAATAATAATATAGAAAGATAATCAGTTCATTATAGTTGTTCCCATGAAATCCTAAAAACTAGAGATATGACTGATGACAGTTCTTTTCTGGATCTGACACAGGTAKACCCTTTTTCCTGCAGCACTAAAGAGGAGCAAACAGTTTAAATGAATAAACAGTTAAGTACRTTAATGAAATGATTATATACGAGCAGATGGCTTGACTGTCATAAGCATACTGCACATCAGACCTAGGAAGAGTATTAGTCTGAGCCAATATGAGAAATAAACTGCAAATCTT